ACACCATCCTCTCAGGGCATCTCATCTGTCTCAGGAGGGGTATTAATGTGGATGTCCAAAGCCTTTGTCCCTAAAATGAGTTTGCTTGATGCAGGCTGACAGAACTGGGGAGACGTGCCCTGGAGCGAAAAAGTAAAGCAGGAAAATGCAGAAAATCTTCTGCCGTACTTAAAATAAAAYAACAGTGTCATGACACTGGCTGCCAAAAATCACGTCACACACTCAGTTAGCTAGTTTTCCATGACAAAAACAAAAAACTCTTAAACAATCCAAATTAGAAAAAAAAATCACTAACAACATCTGTCGTAGAGTACGACGTGTGAAGAAAGAGGAACATGTTTTTGTCCTGGCTAGGCTAACGGCTAAGCTAAAAGCTAGGTTAATGGCAAGACTAATGGCTAGGCTAAGGGACTAGGCTAATGGTTAGTCTAAAGTCAAGGATAACACCAAGGCAAATGGCAAGACTAAGGTCTAATGGCAAATATTGTTGTTTTATAGATGCTTAAAATCAGGCTACATGTGCCCTAGTACATTCAGTTTAATCATACATTTGGTATTCAAAGCTAGCTTTCAACTCTAGGCTTTTGGTCTTTTACACTTGCTTTTTCTTGACTTTTATGTTCAAATGTATTTATAACTAAGTCTTACTTGTATTTTTACCCTGTAATAGCAAAATATCCTCAACGGCAATGYTGCTGAATATCCAAAACAAATGCGAAGCACAGCTAAAACATAAAAACCTTTTAGATTAAGTGTATTTCAATGAACGAGAAGTAGGCATGAAAATATTAAGACCACAGTGCATTGGGATATGCCGACATTGATGCATACGCATCATTTTCTGTAACAAGATTAATAGCTAGTCTTTAAAGATATGGCTCACATAGGCTAAGGGCTAGGCTAACCAAACAAGAACYCATGATTTATTTATTTATTTTCATTTTTGAGGCTTTTAAACAAACTCCCCCTTAATAGCAACATACTGGTGTAACTRAACCTCTCCACTTTAACATGACAGAGTTTGTTTAGCTTGTTGTTGTTTTATCAACCGAACAAACGTATTACTACTCTACTCTATGCTCGAAGACTGATGTCATGGCTAATGAGTTATTAACTACTTTGATAAAACATTATTTCTAACTTAACTGGGTTGTGTCTTTAGTCCTTCCTTTGTTTCCTAGTGTTTACTTTGAGATTGAAAAATGTGCAGTACAAATTCAACCAATTATTATTATTATTATTATTATTATTATTAAATACA